CACATTGTGCAGACTGGCTATTTTAGCTCTATCATTTGGAAGGGGTTCCACTATTTTTGCCGCTTACAGGTGAGGAATTTGAAGCTTAGAGTGGTATCTTGAGACCATAAAGCTATTAAATTGTGAGGGTGGAATTTAGGTCCAGGCATTCTGATGTCAGAATTACCTTTTAAACAGTTAGTACTCAATGTGCTGTCCATGGTCCAGCACCAACAGCAGACCTGGGCTTGGGTTAGATATGAAAATGCATGGACGTGCCTGGGGGGCTCAGTCTGTTAAGTGCCAGACTCTTGATTTTGGCTCAGGTCATGATCTCACGGTTTGTGAGATGGAGCTCTGTATTGGTCTCTGTGCTGGGCATGGAGACCATTTAAGATTCTCTCTCTCCTCGCTCTGCCCCTTCCCCTGCTTGTGCATACCCACTCTCTCTCTCCCTAAAAATAGATAAATAAACTTTAGAAAAAAAAAAAAAGAAAAGAAAAGAAATGCAAATGCATGGCCCTGCCCCAGACCCACTGAATCAAAGTCTTGGGCTGGGCCCCAGAACCTGTTTAATAAGATTCCTAGAGGGGCACCTGGGTGGCTCAGTCGGTTAAGCATCTGACTTCGGCTCAGGTCATGATCTCCTGGTTCATGGGTTTGAGCCCCGCGTCGGGCTCTGTGCTGACAGCCAGCTCAGAGCCTGGAGTCTGCTTCAGATTCTGTGTCTCCCTCTCTCTCTGTCCCTCCCCTGCTCACGCCGTCTCTCTCTCTCTCTCTCTCTTTCAGAAATAAATAAAACATTAAACAATTCTTTTAAAAAGAAAAAAAATAAGATTCCTAGATGCAGGCACCTGGGTGGCTAAGTTGGTCAAGTGTCCCAATCTTGGTTTCGGCTCATGTTCTTATCTCATGGCTTAGTGGGTTCAAGCCCCGAATTGGTTTCTTTCTCTCCCTCTCTCTGCCCTCTCCTCCTCGTACTGTCTCTGTTTTTTTTCCCAAACAAATAAACTTAAAAAAAATTTAAATGTTTATTTACTCTTGAGAGAGAGAGACAGAGAGGGAGAGAGAGAGACAGAGGGAGACAGAGAAAGCATGAGTGGGGGAGGGGCAGAGAGCGACCAAGACACAATCCAAAGCAGGCTCCAAGTTCTGAGCTGTTCGTACAGAGCCCAACGCAGGGCTCAAACCCAGGAACGTGAGATCAGGACATGAGCCAAAGTCCGACGCTTAACTTACTGAGCCACCTCGGTGTCCAATAAATAAATAAACTTTAAAAAAACATCCCTGGATCATTTTACTCACATTAGAGTTTGAGAAACATTGTTCTAATCTAATATATTGTTTTCTTCAGACTAAGTATGGTTTCTATGATAACTATCATTTCAAATATTTGTATTTTCCTACTGAGCTTTAGTATCAAATATGGATGTTGGCAGATACCTGGTTTTAATGAAGCTTATTGAATACCTGTTATGAGGAAGAAGTCAAAAGGTATACTCAAAGAGGTTATAACTGAGTAAGAAGGATATGACAATGACACAAACATTTGGTGCAAAATAGAATAATAAAGGTACAAAGAATGGCATGGGAATATAAAAAGAAGGAAAGAAGTGGACAAATAGCTCTGTAAAGATAGATGTCAAGATAGTGTGGCATTGGGGTGATTCTTAAGGATGTGCAGATTTTTGGAAACTAAGGTCTTTCCAGATGAAAAGAATATGGGTAAAGCAATTGAGGTGCAATTTTGATATGTGTTCCTTTCCACAGAATTAACAAGTTTAATTAAGGTTCGGGCTGTATTTAACCAAGAGCTCAGACTTAGCTGTAGAAAGAACATCTGAAGGTAGATCATAGAAGACCATAATCCAATGGAGAGAAATACTAGAATGAAGTGTTTCAATTTGATAGATCACGGTACCTGCAGATAATTCTGAATGGGGTGCTAACGTTGCAAACTGAGCTACATGATGGAGGTTTCGATTTGAATGTCCCGCATAAACAAGTATGACTTGGTTCAAGTGTGCTTATAATAAACAAGTATCGTTCTTCTAGGGACTGGGCTACTTTCATCCTGTTCCCTCCAGGTATCCAAATACCGTCTTCAGCTTCTTTTTATGCCATGTAACCAGCTGGTCACAACAACCGTTTGATTCCCCACTTGCATGTCACTCAAATTCATCTCTCACCCTACTTAAGACATTCTGTATATCTTACCTGAGCTGTTAAAAACGTCTTCTATCTACTTCTTTTCCTCATTTCTGTTTCATCCAATAGATTCTCTACATTTCTGTCAAAGTTCTCTTTCTAAGACCTAACTCTGAATAAAAAGGTGTAATTTCATCTCGTTGTCAACAAGATAAAAGCATTACATTATGGATGCATTCAAGGCTAATAACAGTCTTTTTCTATCCTCTCTTGCAGTCCATAATCCTACTATTTTTTTGTGGTCCCGCCAAAGTAGTTTCGCTCCCTCACACACTGCCCTTTACCTTAGTCAAGTTTCTTTATTGCAGACATTCTCAGAAACCTCAGTGTGCTGATGAGTTTTATGAATGTGCAAGAGAGGCCTGTCACATAGAGAAATTCCTGCACTTAGATACTATGGCATCCATTCCATGGCGATGTTGGCTAACATCTGGATTAACATTGATATTCTGCAGTATGTAGTTTACGTACTGCTAGTATATAGTTCCTAACACCACAAGTTGGATTTGTGTTCACTCAAGATCTAGAAAGAAAACATGCAAAGCTTAAGATTCTTATTTCTTGAGTAATCAGCTCCAGGTGTGGAGACGTCGGGGGGGGGGGGGGTAAAGGGGGAGGAGCCTTCAGGTTCAAAATGGCTCAGCCTCTGGGCTACATAAACAGGGTCTTCTCAAAAGAGTTCAATTTACCCATTTGCTGTCAGAAAGCTCTCCCCACTCTGGCTTCAGCAAACCCAGGTGGCTTGTTTTTGCTCTATTATTTAGGGCAAGAAGGAGTTCAATCCTGATATATTGGGGAAATGTGCAATGAGTAGGTGAGCCTATTTTCTGAAAGAACTTGGTCTTGTGTAGAGCACTGATTGAAAAGAAGCATGATTGTTTTATAAACCAAAGGGAAGGCTACATTTTACCTTGGATCGAGCTGGTTGTTGAGTGGAGTGGCAAAATCAAAAGCAATCATCTCTTAACCAGGTCAGGATAGAATCACAGTTATACATGTTCACTCAGAAGGAACAGAGACATGAGAATGTCACATAAAGACACATCCACTTTTCTAGACAACACGTGATGTGACTCTTCAAGTAAGATACACACACACACACACACACACACACACACACGAGGAAAGTTTTAAGGAAATAAAAATCTTGGGAAAAGGATCTCTGGGATCAAAGTTGAATGGCTGTTTAAATGAAGCTCTCGGTATAATCACAAAAGGAAACTTGAAGTTCATTCAGTCCAACTCAGCTGCCTCAAATCTTTGTTGGAACGAGGCAAGGACCTAAAGAAAGAGAGGGAGAGTGAAGGCTCCTTATCTCCAAGGAGTCAAACTGCAATTCAGTTATTTTAGCACCTTGCTCAAGGTTGCACAGCTGGCTCCAAATCCTGAGGCTAGCATCTGGGTTTCTTTTATCCAGATGTTTTGGCCTGCTTTATAATGCAGAAAACCTCAAATTAGCAATTTCTGGGCAGCTACTCTACTCTTAAATCTGACATATTGAGGCTGTGCTTAAATCCATTCCCCTCAAAAGGGGTTGTAAATTATAAGCTTTGATATTTGGATTTTAAATAAAAAGTCAGGGGCGCCTGGGTGGCTTAGTCGGTTAAGCGTCCGACTTTCGCTTAGGTCATGATCTCGCGGTTCATGGGTTCGAGCCCCGCGTCGGGCTCTGTGCTGACTGCCAGCTCAGAGCCTGGAGCCTGTTTCAGTCTGTGACTCCCTCTCTCTCTGACCCTCCCCTGCTCACACTGTCTCTCTCTCTCCTAGAAATAAAAAAAAAAAAAAAAAATATATATATATTAAATAAAAAGTCATCCTGGCCAGTCTACAACAATGCCTGAAATTTTCAGCACCATTAAGAAATATCATAACATGTCAAAAATGGATATTCTAAAGTTCTTGCCCTAAAACAAATTGTTGCCATATTACCCACTTCGGAAGCGCATAAGGCCAGAACAAGTGTGGAGGTCTGACTTATTTTGTATTTGGGCTTTGGTTGCAGATTGACTTAAACTTGAGAAAATTACCCCACTTCTTGGAGGCTTACTTTCCTTATCTGAATAATGAGGGTGACACATCTCAGAGTTACTGTGTCAGCAAGACAGCCTATCAAGTACCCTAGGAAAGATATTTGCCACATGATAGAAGTTTAATAAAATTTTCTTTTCTTTTCCCGCTCCCTTCTAAGCAGCTATATCAGTACTCCTTCTCCCTGCCTTCATTTATTCCTTACTTTCTTCTTTTTTTTAAATTTAATTTAACTTAATTTTTTTATTTTTATTTATTTTTATTTTTTATTTTTTTTTTACAAATAGTTTATTGTCAAATTAGTTTCCACATAACACCCAGTGCTCATCCCCACAAGTGCCCTCCTCCATGCCCATCCCCCCCACCCCCCCACACCCATCAGTCCTCAGTTTTTGTCAGCATTCAAGAGTCTCTCATGGTTTGCTTCTCTCCCTTTCCCCCACCATTTCCCCCCTTCTTCTCCCCCTTGTTACTCCATCAAGTTCCTCCTAATCCTCCTATACGTGCAAACATATGATATTTGTCCTTCTCTGCCTGACTTATTTCGCTCAGCATAACACCCTCAAGGTCCATCCATGTTGCTACACATGGCCAGATTTCATTCTTTCTCATTGCCATGTAGTATTCCATGGTATAGATAAACCACATCTTCTTGATCCATTCGTCCGATGATGGACACTTAGTCTCTTTCCATGTTTTAGCTATTACTTACTTTCTTTTTAAAATTTCTTTATGCAGCAAACCCAAGAGCTGGGACATTTAGCTTACATACCAAGGAAATTTACTTCTCAGAAATGCATTTTATTTTATTTTCCAGGTTCATAGTTTATGACGGTACAAATTGACTATCGCATGACGGGGTGGCATTAGCTTCCCCTGGCCTGGGAACATAACAGAAAAATGGCACACTTTAAAACACGTTTATGTCTCTTTCACAGGTGTTTTTTTTTTTTTAATTTTTAATTTTATTATTATTTTAAAAATATTTTTATTAAAGTTATTTTTCATATTTGTTTATTCATTGTTTATTTATTTTGAGAGATGCAGGCACAAGTAGGGGAGGGGCAGAAGGAGAGGGAGAGAGAGGATCTCAAGCTGTCAGTGCAGAGCCCGATGCCGGGTTGTTTTTTTAGACCTTAACTTGGAGTGTAAGACCATCACAGCAATGCCTCCATGTGTGGCCAGTACACAATTCATTCTCCTTGTGAGAGGGTAAAGGCTGAAATTTTTTTGATACCAGTGAAATGGAGTTGGATATCCATTTCTGCATCTGCCATGATTTCAATCTTGCAAAAGGCACCAATTCCACTGGTCATGCCCTTCAACGCACCTCAAAAAGGCCTTTTAAATCACCCATTTGTTGGCTTCTATGCAGCCTTAAGATTTCTTCCAGGAATAGGTGGCCTTTTCCTTTAGACACCAAGCAGGTAAACTGTTATAATTTCCTAGTATGTTCTGACTTCTAGAAGAGCCCTTGACTCAACACAATTTTGTGTCAGACCAAATAAATATTTTGGAAGGCCTAGAACACGGTGGATGGGCCAGTAGGAGGACATGCCGTTGGCACTGGATGGATTTGAGTCCTGGTTCCACCACGTTGTGGTTGACTCTTAGTGGAAACCCCAATTTCTTCATCTGTAAAAGTATAACCGCCCTCCTGCTACAAACCCCAAGGGGCTGCTGTTGAGGTCAATAAAAATAATGGAAGGGAAAGGTCATCGGAAATTCAGAAAAGTCCTTCAGATTTGAGTTCCTGTTGTTAGTTCTGAGCATCAGGAGGCACTCAGATTTTTACCATGGCTGAAGTAGGGCGCTTAGTCCCAATGGACAGTTTTTATCATCCTTATTGCTACCACCCTAGTGGTGTTGCCATCACCTTGCGCCTGTTGTCACGGATATCCATCTTTCCGCCACTCTTGCTCCGTGTTGTTTTTCCATGGAAGAGTCAGTGTGAGATCCTGTCTTATGCCTGCTTAGGAGCCTTCAAATCCTTCAAAGGTCTTTTTATCTTGGGATGCCATGCTCCACAGGGCCTACATGATTTGCTTACTGTTTCCATGACCTCTTGTTGAATTCCTATCTTTCTTCCTTATTAGACGACGCACGGGAACTCTTTCTGTTCCTCAGCCAAGACAAACTTGTTTCCACCTCAAGAGCATTACCTGTTGCTATTTATTTTGCCTAAGAACTTAGCATGCTTGGTGTCTTCTTGTCATTTAGGTCACATCCCCAGACAGGTCTTATCTGACTCTACTCCCTAAAGTGACAACTTCATTCCTAGTCACTTTCTAACACATCGTCCTGTGATTTTCCTCAACACTTTTATCATTAATGGAAATTAAAATATTTATTTATTTGTTTACTTGACTGTTGTCTCTCAGCTCCTAGAATAAAACCCAGGGAGTAGGCGTATAGTCTGTATTTCAGAACCTAGAACAGTGCTGGATAGATCAAAAGTGCCCAGTGAATACTGCTAAATACATACAGGTATAAAATAATGGTGCTAAATGCAACTTCTGTAAATCATGTACCTGCTTGCCCCAAATCGAAGCATAGAACAGGCAACAGAGGACATCAAGGACAAATGGCTTATTTGTTATTCAAATTTTAAAAAGGGATTTTCCACAAAGCAAGAACTTACTTCTCAAGTAAGACCCAAAGAAATACTTAAAACTGTGTGGCTTGGTTATACATAGACTGTGGATCTAAAATTTTTTTCCATGTTTTAGTCAATATTGCATGGATGTGTATTTAAGCACACAAACCAGGGTTTTATGCTTTTTACTCTCTTTGATAGCTGACAACATTCTTTTTATGTCTGAGTATCTCGAAAAGACAACTTTAAAACAGGAAATATGCTACTTCTGTGTGCATTGATGACCACAGCTATTGCTTGCCTAATTTTTGGCTCCACCCAGGAGAAGTCTCACCCAGTCTTGCCAAGAAACTAGGAACTAGATGGTAATTTGGAACCAGTAATAGTTTTCCCCAAGTATATTTTTGGCAGAAGAAACAGCTCGAGATTTAGGAGAGTAAAGAGGGCTGAAAGCTTCCATTGACCTTCTGGGCCCTGACTAAGGCTGCTTATGTTGCCATGACCCCATCAGATGGCCACCTTCCAAATTGTTCAAAACGTTACTTCTGGGCATATAGAGCTGATATCTCAGCACAGGGATAGAAGCCCAGCCTGGACAAGGTCCAATTAAGAAAGCATCTCCATTGGAATGATAGTATCTGGCAAGGAACAAATCCAATGATGCCACAGGTATTATCTGCCTTTCCTTTCCATGCTTAAATCATTTCCTTCATAGACCAGATAATGACCAGTCTACAGAAATACAACTGGCTGAGAATCTGTATATAAACACTGAAATATTTCTTCAGAGTTGATCTTCTCCAGCTGAACTTCTAGAGTCAGATGAATATGGGTCCCAGCTATAACCTCATTCTTTCTTTCTACCCTCATGAATGAGAACATGTATGGACCAGTTTCATTGTGTTGTTTTGTTTAGTAAAGCACTGATAAATTCTTTCTTTTTTTCCCTGTTTAAACTAAGTTGACAGATGTAAATGGTACAGTGGATGGAGGCTCCGATTTGGGGTAAAAATTAGTAGACAATCACTTTAATTCAACTGATTCCTAGTCACAACTAGTTTGCCAGTTCCTGATTCCTTCACTCAACTTGTCACGTCATTCCTGTGAAGTGACGATCTCTTCTGTGAAGCCTTTGGGGAGTCGCTAGACTCCACCTGGGAGTCAGTGACTCCATCTTTTATTTCCAAATGGCAATTGTGTTTTCCAGGAACAATGTCCTTAATATAAAAAATACTATATTTAATGGTTTAAAAGTTTCTCTGTACTCTCTAACAGGCTGTGATATGCACAAGGAGAAGGGCTGTATCTTACTCATCTTTAAAAAAATTTTTTTAATGCTTATTTATTTTTGAGAGAGAGAGAGAAAACAAGTGGGGAAGGGGCAGAATGAGAGGGAGACACAGAATTTGAAGCAGACTCCAGACTCTGAGTTGTCGGCACAGAGCCTGACACAGGGCTTGAACTCCTGACAGACAAGATCATGACCTGCGCTGCAGTCAGATGCTCAACCAGCTGAGCCACCCAGGCACCCCTCTTACTCATCTTTATAAACGTATCTTACCAACATGAAATGCTTATGGAATGAAGACTTTGTATTTACTGATATGTGAGTGAGTAAGTGATCAAGTGAGTAAATAAGAGTTATTTATCTTAGTTTAGCAAAAAATACAGAACCCTTAAGTCAGTGACAAGTAAATATTGGTTGAGTGCCTGCCAAATGACAAGCAGTTTTGAATATATGATTTCATTAGCACTAAACAAGTCTATAAGTTAAATATTATTCCCCCCTCCCTTTTTTTAATAAAGAAGGTGTCATTCACATAAGGTTGAGGAAGTGAGTGCCAAATTCAAGATCTCAAAAGCAGAAAAGTATTTCACTTAAAATGAATTTGTTCACCAAGTGGCCAAACTTATGTTTTCCTGAACTTAATTAATAGAAATCAAGTTAAGTGGCATCAGCAAAGTTATCCCTCAGAATAATGACATTTGCTATTCGTCTTCCATAGTAACCTCATTGCATAGATGAAGAAATCAGTTTTTTTAAGCCTATAATGAAGAAGCATTAATTCAAAACAGATTTATTTCCTTCAAGTCTGATACTCTTTCCAATTTCTCATAACCTCCTTACAATTGTTTTCTTCTATAAATTCTAATAGTATTGCATTAAATCATATCTCAATAAACACATTGAGGGTGTTAAAATAGTGGGGTCCATGTATGTTACTCTGATTACCAAAAAAACAAGGATATGTGTTTATCTAATAATATGCAACTTAGAGAATCTAATTGATGGATCTACAATTGGAGTCATTAAAAGCATAGATTTTGGACCAATTTTGGACTAAAGGTGTGAATTAGAATCCCTGCTCTGCCATTCATAAGATGAGTGACCTTGAGTAGGTCACAAAGACACAATGAAGTTAAATTTCCTCATTTTTAAATAATCCTTTCCTTGATTGCAATGGAACCAGACTGGCTAGTCAAGGCAGAGAAGGAATGTGCTGGAGTTGCTAATGAGAGAAGACCAGAGAGCCAGGTAAAGAAGAAGGGAGTTCTGGATAATTAAAGGAGAATTCTCATCCTGATTCTTACTCTTTTCCATGCCCACCTCCCACAAGGAGCTTCAGTCCAGTTTCTTTAAATTATCACAAGGGAGATTCCGATTGGACCATGAGTCCATCCTGATCGGTATCATGACTACTTTTTGGCTGAAATTGTGCAGACATTGTTGTCAATTCTGTACACAGTATAAAGGAGGTAATTCTCCAAAAGGCAGCAGAAATCCTCTTACCAAAAACAAAACAAAATAAAACAAAAACACAAACAAACTCAGGAGTCCCCAAAACAGTAGATCTATGGAAGGAGTTCCTTCATAGGGTTACTGGGAAGGTGGCAATCCAAGGGCAGGAAATCAAAGGAGGGTAAGAGAAAGGAAGAGACCTTTGGTCTTCGAGCCACAGATTACTTGATTAATACCCATATTAATGATCAGGGTTTTATGATTTTATAATTCATTTGAGATATTTTAGAATTTTAAAAATGTCCTATGAAATTGATCATTAGTTGAGGAATCAGGAAGAATTGTAAGAGCTTTGATTTATAATACTTCCTCCATGAGGTTAAAGAGGCTCATTTGTAGAAGGGAGATACTAAAATATCAATCAGAAACATAATTTCAGGTCAAAAGAAACATTGGATATAATTGTGTCTATCTACATCAGAGAGAAAAGCTAAAAGCTCAGAAGAGAAAAGGAGCTTGCAAAGCATATTTTGTAATCCTAGGTCTTTATCAGTTATACAGAGAACTAGAAATAAAGGCCAAATGAATGAGGTAACCTATAAAATCCTTTTTTTATACGTGTGATTCTTGAAGTCCATCTGTGCCTGGCTGTTTAGTGGGCCCGAGTCATGATTTGCACACCATGAAGACAAGTTGTCTGTTGGGGATCAGAACTCCAGAAGCAGTGGACATACATTAACACTAAGCCAGGTGTCTGAATAAAAAGACAAATGGTCTGGTCTACAAGTTGTGGAAAGGAAGTCAGTGAAGGTAGTGGAGATCTGGTCTGAGGGAGGGACTAACGCTGTCTGACTTACCCTCTGCAGACAGTGGTTTCATTTGTTCAGAGCTCGTTGCCTAGACAAAGGTTTCTTCAAGACGCCTAATCTTCTGTCTTCATTCTCGAAATATATATATATATATTAAAAAGAAGGATCCATTTGCCACGCACATAGCTTTTTGGAGGTTTAGCAGAGGACACAGCATTCTGGAACATTGAAGTACCCGGAGCTCCCTGTAACAAAGAGGAAGGTCCCTGGCAACCTGCCCCCATGACAAAGCTTGTGATCGATTTAGGCTCCCCTAGGGTTGGCAATGATGGTTTTCATTTAGGCCTGGTTGGGCCCCCCAAGTAGAAGACTTGGAGACTGGTTCTGAATCAACTCTGTCATGCAGTTACTTAGGGGTGCCAGATTTGAGAAGAAAAAAAAAAAGGCAAAACAAAAAACACTCTCAAAGTCCAGAAAAGTTTGGCTCAAGCCTATGCATATAATAAAAATAACAAAGAGGAAAAAAGTGTGTTTGTTCTTATGAAGTACGGAGCCAGTGCTTTTATGTTATCATCAAAAGGCAGTGCCAAACCTCAGTCACGGCTGCTGCTAAATGCATCTGAGAAAGACCCTGAAGGTGAGTGCATAGGGTGGGATTATGGGAATCCCTGCCTGACAAATCTGTGGATTTCAACAGCCCAGCTAATTACAGGGCAGGGCAGCCCTAACAGTGGCTCTGACTGAGAGACTGGGTTCCACATTTGGGGTAGTAACTTAAGCCACCCTGGGTGTCCAACCTCTGCTCTCAATCTACCCTCAGAACAGGCTGTCCTCAGGCTCAGTCTACAGAACCCAAGAGGACCGAGAAGGCAAAGAGGAATTTTTGCGTGCCCTTTAAAACTCCAGCTGAGTTCAGGCTTCAAACAGCAAATGAGAGATTCCCATATCCCTGCTCTTGACTTTTCCTGTAATCCAATCTCCAGGATTTGAAGGGTTTTAAATCAGGGAGTCTCCACCCTGTTTGGAGGGTGTCATGGGAATCTCCAAAAAAAGTTGTGTTTCGCTTTTACTCCCGCCTGTGGGAACGTGGTGTGAGCCTCTATGAGCTGTGCTGGTCCCCAGCCTTTAGGTTCTGATGGCATGGCGCCAGCCTTCTAATGGTCGCAGGCTTTAGTGATTAAACTCAATTGAGATGCGGAGTGCCGGGGTTTTGCACGCAAGCTGCAGAATTGGATTGCCTATGGTCAGATTTCAGCGCCACTATTTAAAAACGGCATAAGCTCTGTCTAGTCAGTTAAACCCTGGGTCTGTTTCTCCTTCTAAAAGAAAGATAAGGAGAATAGTAAGCATTGGTTGAATTCTTACTCTATGAAATATGTTCAGAACACTATATGCTTTCAACTCGTGTAATCGTCAGAATATTCCTATAAAGCAGGTACCCTTATCATAATTGTTTTATTGAGAACACAGGGCACAGAGTGATTAAATATCATGCCCTGGGTGGCAGGCTCAGCACATAGCAGACAAAGATTTGAACTCGGCAAGTTTCGCCCCAGTGACTCAGTGCCTACTTACTATGCTGTGGCGCCTCTCCAGTGGTGATGGGAAGGGACAGTACCGAACTCAAAGTGTTCTGGTGATACTGAATAAGCTCTACATAAGCACGTTGTAGCACAGTGCCCGGACCATAGTAAACACTTAATAAATACTAATTATTATTGATAATGGTGATGGCAGTGTGGTGGTGATGAGAAGGCAATGATACTAACAGTGGTGCAGTTTGAGAAAATGTGCGTCCATCCTTCTAAACCATGTGTCACCTTCTTGAGGACACACAGGAATCCGGGACAGCGGAGTGTCTTATCACCTTGAACTGATGGAAAGGGAATGATGCTCCTACCTCTTTAGAAAGAAAGCCCTACCATCTTTATTTTATTAAAGTTTATTTATTTATTGACAGAGAGAGACAGAGAGGGGGAGGAAGGGCAGAAAGAGAAGGTGGGAGAATCCCAAACAGCCTCCATGCGCCGTCAGCCCAGGAACAAATGCAGGCTCTTGAGCCAAGATCAAGAGTTGGATGCGTAGCCGACTGAGCTGCCCGGGAGCCCCAAAGCCCTACTCTCTTTAAAAAAAATAAAAAAGGGGGCGCCTGGGTGGCTTAGTCGGTTAAGCGTCCGACTTTCGCTTAGGTCATGATCTCGCGGTTCGTGGGTTCGAGCCCCGCGTCGGGCTCTGTGCTGACTGCCAGCTCAGAGCCTGGAGCCTGTTTCAGTCTGTGACTCCCTCTCTCTCTGACCCTCCCCTGTTCACGCTGTCTTCCTCTCTCCTAGAAATAAATAAAACATTTAAAAATAAATAAATAAAAAAGTAAAGGACCCCAGTGTCCCTGGGTTACTGTGAAAGGGAAGGAAAGAAGAACAAAAGGAAAAGCGTCAAAGCAAGAATTTCCCTTCCCTCCTTCCTCAATCCGACTTACCTCTCAGGCCCTGCTCTAGGTGACTCCCACAACAAATTGGTTGGGTGCGTATTATTTAACAATTCTACTGAGTAAGACGTTTGAGCATGAAACCTGAAAGAGGCTAAGAAACCTGTTGAGATACCACAGCTGGAACCTCCGAGCCAGGGTTTCATCCCGGCCCTTGCGCCGGCTGCTGTCATGGTCTTCACTCATCATTGTTCGTGGAAACGAATTGAAATAAACCTTATAGCCCACCCAAGGGAACGCTCATCTCTGACTCTTCCCAGCATTTTCCCGTGTGACAAACATGTACAGAGCGTCTCGTAGATGCGAAGCCTGAGCTGCCTGATGGCTTCCACCAGCCCCACCACAGCCCGTTCAGCAAGTGCCTGGTCCAGTTGAAAGCAGGGCTCCAGACCATGATAGCAGGAGACAGCTGTCCAGGAAGATATTCAACAAGGACACAGACTCATAATTCCAAACAGTTGGGAATCTGTTGTTTTAAATACTCTGCAGCTCCTCTTTGGTTCTCTGGCAGCAAAAATAGCCCGGTTGCCAGGAACCGCTATGTGTAGTGGTAACTTCTCACTAAACAGACGTACAAATCTAAACTCTAAAAGATTGCCCTTTAAAGCTTCTACTTATGTTTGCACAATATAAGATGGATTCATCATTAACACCCTAAAAGTGTGCTGTCATGTCAAAATACTATAAATTAAGAGAAGAACACACTGATCATAAAAAGTTAGGGACTAGCTACTGTCCCCGTCAAGCTCGTCGCAGAGTCATGGCCTCCCATGGCCTCCAGACACTGTAGTTCAACAGAGGTTGAGAAAGTGGCTTCTGAGAATTGCAAAGTAAATAAATCAGGTAAATCAATATGGCGAATAGGATGTGGTCTAGTAAGTATAATATCTAGCCCAGGGAAGATTTTTTTCTTCTATCTTAAACTGAGTCTTTATTCTTAGAATGATCTAGGTATTCATTTCCTAAGGCTGCTGTACTAAGGTAGCCAAAGCTGAGCAGCTCAGAAGAACAAGAGTGTATTGTCTCATAGTTCAGAGAGCTAGAAGGCTGAATCAAGGCGATGGCAGGACCATGGTCTCCCTAATGCCTGGGGAAAAGAATGCTTCTTGCCTCTTTCTAGCTTCTCATGGTTGCTGGGAATTCTCGGCATTCGTTGGCTTGTGCACAGTAATCTCTGTCTCTGTTGTCACATGGCCCTCTTCCTCCTGTGTCCCTCTTCTCTTCTTTTTTAAAAAGTTTATTTATGTATTTTGAGACAGAGAGAGAGAGGGAGAGAGAGAGCGTACACGGGTGAGTTTAGTGAGATGAGGAGGGGCAGTGCTTACCCAGCATTCAGTGAATGGATGAATGAAGGCATGGACTCTTTATCTGGATGCCCTCCCTTCCTGACTTCTCCATTTCCCCTGCCTGGGAGAACTTTCCTGATCCTTCCTACCACAATTTGTAACTTTTTCAAGGCATCACTTTGTTTCCTGGAAAGGAGGAACTTTGTTCCCATTCTTCCAATTCTCCAAAATGCTGAACAGGGCTTTGCATGGAATAAGCACTCAATTGCTTGGTAAATATCCATTAGAGTGAATCAAATTAGTCAAACGTCCATGGCTACCTCTGTTATCACTTTCTCAGTCAAGTCTGTCCCAAGCTCTGCTTCATACTTTACCGGGTTACTGTCCCTTTGTCCCACACTCCAAAGACGAAGATGTTAGGACAGCTGTCACAGTCCCTTTAGCGAGCTGATGAACGATTGGTCACATTTTGCCACACTCACTTCATCATTTTTTGCTCAAGTTTTAAAAAGAAATAACAGACATCATGAAAGTATACCACTTAATACCTCAGTAGGCATTTCTAAAAGGTAATAACATGTTCTTATTTAATGATAAGGTTATTATCACACCCAATAAAACTCACTATAATTGTATCAATATTATCTAATACCATCCTGGTTCATATTTAGCTTCCTCAAGTATCTCCAAATGTGTTTCATGGTTGTTATAGTCAAACTATGATTTAATCAGTTTCTATTCATTCCTTTTGACTGTTTTGTCTTTTAAGTAACTTTCACTTTACACAATTGCCCTGTTGCCCTCTCTTCTTTTTTCATAACATGATGTTAAATTTAGTTGATGGGTTTAGAGAGTTTATATTTCTGTTCATATGTATGTTCAAAATTCATTCATAGTCAAATGTTAAAAAAATAATCAAGTTCAAAAATGGATCATAGATTTAAATTTAAAATATAAAACTGTATATTTTTATAAGATGACATAAAAAAATCTTTGGGGCCCAGGGCTTGGTGAAAATTTGTAGATCTGATAGTAAAGTATCCATTCTTAACAAAAAATTGGTGAATTGGATTTCATCAAAAGCACAAAAAAATTGATCTGAGAAAGATTCTATTAAGAGAATGACAAGAAAAGCTACTGACAGGAAGAAAATATTTGCAAACCTCTCATCTGACAAAGGGCGAGTATTTAGCATATATAAAGAATACACAACACTCAACAGTAAGAAAGCAAACAATCCAACTAGAAAATGGGTGCAAGACATGAATAGAAGAGGCTATGTTTTACCAAAAATGAGATTCAGATGACAAATAAGCCATAAAAATTTGTTCAATATCACTTGCCATTAAGGAAATGCATACTAAAACCATAATGAAATATCACTACACACGCTTAAGAAGAACTATCACGCAGTAGTGA